AGAAGTACAGGACCCACGATGGCTCATGTAACAACCTCCAGCACCCCATGTGGGGGGCGTCCCTTACGGCTTTCCAACGCCTGCTCAAGCCAGCCTACCAGAATGGCTTCAACCTCCCCAGAGGCTTCTCTTTGGTGGAAGACTCCAGAGAGCTCCCCCTTCCTTTGCCTCGCTTGGTCTCCACTGCCATGATTGGCACGGAGACCATTACGCCTGATGACCAGTTTACCCACATGCTTATGCAGTGGGGCCAGTTCCTGGATCATGACCTTGACCAGACGGTGGCCGCCATCAGCATGGCCCGGTTCTCAGATGGAGAGTCTTGCAGCCAAGTGTGTACCAATGACCCTCCTTGCTTCTCTATCATGATCCCAGAGAATGACCCACGGGTGAAGAATGGGCGCTGCATGTTCTTTGTCCGCTCCAGCCCTGTGTGTGGCAGTGGGATGACCTCTCTGTTGATGAACTCCGTCTATGCCCGAGAGCAAATCAACCACCTCACCTCTTTCATCGATGCCTCCAATGTCTACGGCAGCACAGAACATGAGTCTCTGGAACTCAGGGACCTCACAAACCAGAGGGGGCTCCTGAAGGAAGGCCAAGTGGTTCCAAGTTCTGGTAAACCCCTCCTTCCCTTTGCAGTGGGCCCCCCAACTGAGTGCATGCGGGATGAGAGTGAGAGCCCTGTGCTGTGTTTCTTGGCAGGGGACCACCGGGCCAATGAACAGCTGGCCCTGACCTCCATGCACACCCTGTGGTTCCGTGAGCACAACCGTGTGGCCCGCAAGCTCCTGGCCCTGAATCCTCACTGGGATGGAGACACCATCTACCACGAAGCTCGCAAGATCGTGGGGGCCCAGATGCAGCACATCACCTACTCCCATTGGCTACCCAAGATACTCGGGGAAGCTGGGATGAAAGCCTTAGGAGAGTATAAAGGCTATGGGCCCAACACCAATCCAGGGATCCTGAATGCCTTTGCCACTGCTGCTTTCCGTTTTGGCCACACACTCATCAACCCTCTTCTCTACCGGCTCAATGAAACATTCCAGCCCATCCAACAAGGCCATGTCCCACTCCATAAAGCCTTCTTCTCTCCATTCAGGATCATCCAGGAGGGGGGCATCGACCCTCTCCTCCGTGGGCTCTTTGGGGTCCCTGGGAAAATGCGGGTCCCTTCTGAACTCTTGAACATGGAACTGACAGAGAAGCTTTTTTCCATGGTCCACTCCGTCTCGCTGGACCTTGCAGCCATCAACATCCAGAGGGGGCGTGATCACGGCATCCCACCTTACAACGATTTCCGGGTCTTCTGCAACCTCACATCTGCTCAGGAGTTTGATGACCTCAAGAATGAGATTAAGAACCTGGAGATCAGGGAAAAGCTCAGGAGGTAGGGCAACCTGGCTAAAAAATGCCATAGAGGACAACTGTAGTTGTAACCTCCTCTCTTTTTGCTTGACTCTAGTTTAGCAGTCCAAATCCAAACATCCTAATTTGCAGCGGGGCTCTGGAGTTGGAAATGGGGAAGTGGATAAAACCATAGGTGGGGAGAACATGGTGCTTCCTCATCCTGAACACACACAGCCCTCACTGGCTTTTTTTTTTTAATTATTGTTATTGTTCCCCTTCCCTTTTTTTAAAGCTGAAATATTTCTTGCACAAATTTGCAAGATACAGAGATGAAAGAATCTCGTGCTATGGCAAACAGATGACTTCCACTATTTGAGGGCACACCACATTTAAATACAAACTAAACATCTAGTCTGCTTTGACCCATAAATGCTGCAGGGCCTTTGATGAATACATTAAATGGCCACTCCAAAATCGACACACCATAGATATTTGCTTTTTCCCCCTTCTTACTGAAAGTGTCAAAACAGGTGAGACATTTTAAAACGGTTGTGACAGACTGCCAATTCTAATCAGAGCAGCATTGCTGGTGGAGGAGTTACTATGGACTCTCCCCC